TTTTTAATAATGAATTAACTTTACATAGTAACTAATTCTTAAATGCAAGCAACACAAAAATACCTTACACATAAAAATCATTTTTATTACTTGCATCGTTTAAGAAAACAAAAACAAAAACGAAAAAGACACTTTAATCAGTTGTTTTTGTACAAATGTTATAAACAGTGGCAGATTTTGCTTTCTTTATGAAAGAAACTTCATAATTTTGTTCACAGCAATTGCCACGTGGGCCTGCTTTTGCTAATAAAAGTTTTTCTAATGTGTCATCACTAATATTAGATCTAAATTTAGTCCTCGGTTTCGCAACAACACTGAAAATCCTCTCACATTCTGCATTACTATGGGGAACTGACAAGATGGCCAACATAATTCTAAACAGTTCACTATATTTTAAAATTCCATCAGTACCTTTCAGTTTTCCAATTAAACTCCATTGAAAACAAACTAAACAACAATTGGATACAGTTTTGAATTAGTATTATTGCTTCCATCCGTAGAGAGGCAGAACGGAGTTGTTTTAATGCAATCAATAACTGAAGATTTATTTTTCAAACCCATTTCTTTAACAATTACACCTGTTTTGGTTCTTGCACTTGAGTATTTCTTAGCAATTTCACTATCGGGAAACATTTTTCTAAATAAAGCTGCAGCGTGATCCGATGCTTTCAGTGGCAGGTTGTGCTGTAAAAAGGGCAGAGAACAGACATTCTGCATTAATAACTTTTTAGTCCTTTGTTTCCAAAGAAAAAATTATTTTTTTGTTTTTTTCAAAACAACTCATGTTGTCCTTGTGTTTTTGTGTACACACATGTTTGAGAACATCGTCTTTCCACCATGCGAAATCGAAAAATCGCAACGACAGGCGTTACACATCGCAAATTAATTTACATTTCCTTGAGGAAATAATGGAAGGAAAGTCAACTGTTTACGATTTTTGAAACGTATACGAGTATTTCACCTTTCTCGCAGACATAACAAAAGATGATAATTTCAAAAACTATTTCTTGAAGGCACGTGTACTCACACAACTCAGGACAAAATGAACGAAATAACTAAAGAGCATCCAAATAAGAGCTTGCTTTGTCCTCATTGGCTAATATATGCCAGATGACATGCAGTGGAGCTTAATGCCTATTAGAGAACTGGAGAATGACGTTTCTGGATACATATATGCTCTCACACACAAAACAGAAGTTATCTGATTTGCAAGGTTTTGTTTTAGATATAATCTAGAGAAAATTCAATTGCTTTCACACGTCCAAAATCCTTTTTTTTTTTTTTTTTTTTTGTTTTTGTTTTGTTCATATAACAAAGTATTAAGTCAAGTTCCATAAAAATCGTGAGAAATTTTAAGAATAAGAAAAAGTTGGGAGAAATATATTGTAAATCGGGTTGGCAGGAGAGCGATCGAAAATCGGGAGAGTTGGCAACTCTGGATCAGATACATTACAGTCATACTGAAAAATCACTTTTCATCTGGATAGTAAAAAAAGAATTGATTTACAATATCCATTTCACCTATTGCATTTGTATTTTAGCATTAAACAGTATTATAATAAAAATTAGGATTATTTTATAAGAGATTAATTAGCTTACTTTTATTTCTTATTGGAAAATTCCATTTGGATACATTCGAGGATATGGAATGGATTATAATGACGCATACTGATATACCACCATAGTGCATACAAAAGCTGAAATTGTAACTATCGCAACTCAGAATGTACAACTTTATAGAATGTCAGTTATTAACCAAAAGCAGAGATACCAGCCTTTGAGAATAGCTATCAGTAACATTCAATTATAGATTTAGTGAATTATAGATTTAGTGAAGTATTACTGATTCAATTGATTTAATCAGTAATACTTCACTAAATCTATAATGCTTAACTGAATTAATCAGTAATACTTCACTAAATCTATAATGCTTAACTGAATTAATCAGTAATACTTCACTAAATCTATAATGCTTAACTGAATTAATCAGTAATACTTATACTGAATTAGTGATACTTAATGTCAGACTCATACACTGCCCACACTGAAGGAAGGAGATTCAATAACATAAACATGATATTGTGCCACATAAAAGGCATACTACTCAAAATTTTTCAAAACAGACAAAAGACGAAAAAATGAAAATGCATTTTCCTATGTTATTGTTGCTGGTATGTAGTGATGAACATCCGCCAATAAGGCGATAGAAGATGTAATCTGGGTGCGCTGCGGAAAAGGTTAACTGAGTGACTTCCTTTTCCTTTCTTCCCTCCTTCATGTAAGGACTGTGTTAAAACTCTTTCATAACGACTAATTATTAAATGCTCTCTTGATATACACATTATGAAAATCCTAATGAATCTAATAAATACATATTATGAATATAATATTATGATATTAATATACATATTATGAATATTTTAATGAATGTGTAAAATAAATGTGTTTGTTTGCAATTTTCGTGTACAACCTCCTTATAGATTACACAAAAAACTATGATGTTCCTAGGCACTACCGAGACTACAAGGTAAGAAATTGTTCTTTTCCTTACTTCGATGATTTGTTGTAGAAATATTTACAACAAAAGATTATGAGACTGAATGAAAAATCATAGTATAAATCAATAAAAAAAACTGTATTTAAGTCAAATAAAATCAAATAGAATAACTGAATTCCAGTAATTATTCAGCATGGAAATGCAAATGCTACTAATAAAGGAGAATCTTTACAATGTAATCGAAGATGTACCTCCAAGCCCTATTACAGAACAGTGGAATAAACGTGATCGGCAATGCCATGCGATGATTAATTTATTTATCAAAGACAGCCAAATAATTCACATTAAAAATGAAACTACTGCTAAAGCCATCTGGGAAAAACTCAGGCAAGTATACAAAAGGTCTAATCTCTCAAGTAAACTATTTCTTTTACGAAAGCTTTACAGTTTGAGAATCAGTGGCGGCTCGTAGCTAAAATTAGTAGGGGTGCAGTCCAAAAAAAATTTAACCTTTATTTTAAAATTGTGTAAAAGGAAACAAACACATATAAAAAGAAATTTTATTTTGAAACTTTATGAAATCTTACAAGGAAAAAATTAAACATTTCTTAATTACTTTAACCTAAATTGTTGCAGTTCAAGCTTTTATCTAGTCATTTAAAAATGAAATCCATTCTTCTTGTTTTAATTTGCGTGAAAAGATGAATAATTTTATCTTTGATCTCTGGATGACAACTGAGAAAATTTTTCTTTATTGAAAGCAATGTAAGGGCATTTAGTCTTTCAGAAATCCTAGTGCTTCTTAAAAAAGTTTTCTCTTCCCCCCCCCCATATTGAAAAGCAGCGTTCTGCCTCTGATGTAGTCATGGGAACTCTCAAGACAATTTTTATTAGTTTCGTAATTTCGCTAAGAACATCATCTAGATTATTTTCGAAGATAAATTTCAGTAGCTCAATTTTAATATGCAGTATTTATGGATATCAGACCTACAATAGAATACTTTTATTTCAGTTTCAAGTTTTTCTTTGTCAATCATTGGATATGCTTCAGTGGTCAGTACTATTCCTTCTACAGGATGTTCATTTCTAAAACTAGCAAAACATTTCTGTTAAACAATTTGGCAGCTGCTAAGTGTTTAGTGGAAAAATATTTGTGCATTATATCAATACATAGTATAAAGTCACATATTTCCTTAGTTTCTGCCATCAGTGTCTTTGAAAAATTCTCACAGTACTTTGAGTTTCTTAATTCTAAAATAGCAGTTTTGAAATTTGTTATATATTCATTAACTTTAAACACACTAATTTCTCTGGATTGCATTTAGTTGTGTATTATTTCAACATGAGGCATAATCTGATAAAAAAAGCTCTAACCAACACTTGAAATTATCATTATTTAGATATTTTAAAATTCCTGTTGCTTTTGCAACAGATTGGTCTGCATTTGATGTTGATTGAATTTCAGCAACACAATTTTTTAAAGGTTGCAAATTTTCATGAACTCTGTTTATGGTTCGTATGATGAATATCCACCTTGAGGAGGAATACCACACGTGTGCAGTAAAAAGAAATCACGTTTCCAAAAACACGCCAGAATTTCGGAACTGCAGGAGCAACAATGCTCTTCTCGCTCCCTTGGCTTGCGTACTGCTTTCTGTGTGCTCATGCACAGAACAGCCAAACACCACGTCGCTGGAACTGTGAAGTGCGCACTTCCAAACAAAAACTTTCGTACCTTTTTCATATACTAGGGGATGGCTACTGACATTAAGCTTAAGGATTATGTATTGTAAAAGTATAAAGAAAGAATTAAAGACTAAAGGGCACACTATATTAAATATTAAAAATAATAATAAGTGGAATAGGGGGTGCTGCAGTTCCACAGTGCTTATTACGAGCCGCCACTGTTGAAAATTGAGGAAAATGGAAATATGCAACCTCATTTAAATACCCTACAGGAGTTAGTCGATAAACTTAAACCAACAATAGAGGACATAAAAGGATAATCATACATCAGCACTTCTGATTATCATCACTGAAAACATCTAAAGAAAAACATGAATAAAATTCAAACTTTACTTCCAAGCATTAAATTCAAATTTAGTTTTAAGAATAAAAATTATGATGTTCAAAAATTGATAAAATTTACTTTTCAAAATTATTAAAAACCAACACATATAAACTGCAGAAAAAATATTCAATCAAAACTGCATACAAAAACTCAGTGATATTCTAAAGATGTGTTACAAAATTACACCAATAATGCAAAAAATCATCAAATAAATTGCTTTTTGATCACTGCATTAACCAAATTAGAAAAAGAGTAATTTAAAGAGTAAAGCTGTTTAAAAAAAATTGTCTTCCACTATCTTGTCAACATGAATAAAAATAACAGGCAAAATTTATATCACATTTAAGTAATATATTATACTACAATTCTCTAAATAATATATCAACTCTCAATATAATCAATAGCATAAAATACATGCAGCGTTATACATACTCTTTCATTTGTTTTGTTGAAAACTTCTACAGATAAAAGCTTCAGAGGGCCACAATAAACTCCACTCTTAGCTTCAATAAACCTTTCTAGAGCTCTGTATGTCTTACCACTGTTTGTTGGACCAGCATGGAATATTAGTTTTCTATGTATCGAACGAGCTCCAGGATACCTATAGCATACAGCATAAAAATAAAGCTTTCTGTATATAAAATGTCTTATATTTCATTAATAAAATAATTTTCATTTAAAATAATTGAATTTAAATATATTGCATTCAATAAAATGTATGAGTAATTGATAGTAAAACAATATCATATAGAAACATATAATTGTAACAGAACGTGCCATGACTCTCTTGGAAGAAGTCGTCTTTTGATTCAGATTACCAGGAAAATCATAGATGATAATGGTGCTCAGTTTACAAGTGTTCTCATGCAACAACTATGCTATATCTTGAACACTGATCAAAGTCCTACTCCTGTCTATACCCCAAATGAAAGAAAGAACACAGATCTAACACCTCACTTAGCAATACTTGTAAGTAATGACCATCAAACATGGAAGGATAAACTGCCATTCATAATATTTGCTTTAAAACACAGCCAAATGTGACTCAACTGTATAATCTGCTGCATTTCTCCAATTTGCACAAGTGTTGCTAACCTTGGATGATCTAAAACGTGATATAAAAGCTGTAATTGAGAATGATAATTTTGTTCCAGAAATTACTTCATATTTGAAATGTTTAGTGAGAACTGCACAACAGATACAAGAAAGAGTTCAGTTACACCCCGATAAACAGAAGCGTTAATAGCTGATAAGAAATTACAGTAAAGTCCGAAATTTTCTACTGGTGATAAAGTCTGGAATCTCCACCCAATCAGCAAAGACTCACTAAAGAAAATCAGTAAATTCATGCTTAAGCGAGATGGTCCCTATGTAATAGTGACTACGAGATCTCCAGTGAATTTTGATAATGCCGATCCCAACGAACCAGAAAAAAATTCTCGGCAAATATCTTGTTTCAGCCTTGAAACTATATCAAGAGCAAAATTAGTTTCAGACTTCAGGTCATGTAACTCCAGTGGCTCCCTTGGAAAAAAAAAGAAGACACCCAAGACGTGTAATACCCACCGAAGTATCTATTTCAAACGATGTTTCTGAATCTAAACCTATTACTTATCAAACCTCGAGCCCATCCATCTTATTCTCCACCTACTGCCCGATGTAGACAAATGTCAGTTCCTGACTTCTTGCTGAGACATCTACAAAATCTGAGGGGGAGGATATAACAGACCTATTTGGATGCAACCGAGCTAGTTTATCAAACGATATTGAGTGGCAATGAGAACAACTTACAGTCAGTCGACATCCAGCTGCAATGAGGATAGGTTATCATTCACTAATATGTCTCTGCAATTCTAAAATTAGTTTTAAATGTTAATTCTAAATGTTAGTTGTTCCATTTCAGTATATGTTCTCTACTGATGTATATTTTCTTAGCAACTGTTCCTGTGCTCTCTTAATAAATACTTTCAGAGCTAGCCGGTGTTTGTGTTCATAGAAGAGCGGTTATATAATAACAAATGAATACATAATTATATATAACAAAAATATAATAAGATCATATGAGCAGATAATTTTCACTCTTCAATCCAGATATGTACAAATTACTCACACAGTTTTATACAATTTAGTTACAAGTATATTTTGCAGTTTTATTTTCTGAGTCTTAAAGTAAGAGAGATTTTCATTTAATACAGTATATTAAGATCAGCTGACAAACATGTTTTAGTGCGATATGCTGTATGAATGTATGTACGCTGCGGGGGGGGAGGTCAATTCTATATCTCCCGTTTTACTGGGCCGATTGACGAAATTCAACTTGCGTTTTTCATGTTTCGAAAGCACAACTTAGGATATGTATTAGATTTATATACAGCATTGTTCTAATAAAGGTATTTTGACACAAAATCAGACTTTTTTTTAAATGACATGCCAATTTTTTTTCCATATTTCAATTCTAGGGTTCAAATTACACTAAACTACCAAGTTTTGTAAAAATCTTAAGAGTAGTTTTTAAAAAATTAGCTCTCAGAATTTTAGCTCCTCAGTGCTTGGTATATATTTATTAACCTCTCTTCTTTTATTTAATTTATTTGATTCTTCCTGTCACATTTCAAAATTCAGATTCATTCCAAATAAAATTCACCCATTTTTTTATGACTTATTTTTTAAATTTATATTTTTAAATAATTTTATAAATTTTTCAAAAACATTTTGTCGTCATCTTAAAGAGACATCGTCTTAAAATTACCATCGTCTTAAAGAGACATATTTCTAATCATACCTGCAAAATATTACAGTCTTTTATTCAAAATTTTCGAAGATATATGTGAATTTACATATCGGAGGGTTTTGAAATTTGACATTTTTGTTGAAAGCGATAAAACATCAAATGCGGTTTACATACTTTGTTAAAATTTTTTGAAAGTAGGAATGATGTCACTTTTTTCCACTCATGCACAATGTCTGGCATAATGGAAGGGAAAGGAAAATAGGTATCCATATATTAACAAGTTCACCAAGTGAATTATTTTTGGCGCAAACTGAAAAAAATTGCGCCAAGATAAATTTTTGAATTTCTCCTTAAATTTCATACCAAATTTTGAAAAATTTAATATTTAGGCATAATTTGAATCGTAGAATTGAAATATGGAAAAAATTGGTATGTTATTTCAGAAAAAGCCCGATTTATTTTCGAAGTACCTATGTTAGAACAATGCTATATATAAATCTAATATATATCCCAAGTCGCGCTTTTGAGACATGAAAAACTCAATTTAAATTTTGTCAATTGGCCTAGTAGAACAGAAAATATAGAACTGACCCCCTTTTTTTTGTGCAACGTACATTAAATTCAATTCAGTCTGCAATCAGTAAAAAGAATTTTGACAACCGGAAATATTTCATTGGTCCATGAGAAGAGATATATTTAAAATACTAAGAAACAAAGCACTAAAAATTAATAATTCATAAATTCATAATTTCTCAACAGAAAATACATAAAACATTAAGTTCCACAAAAAGTTATTTAAAAAAATTAAATCATGTTTACCAATTTGCTGGCTGCCTTAAATCACTTATTTGTTTCAGTTCCTCCATACACTCCAGATGAGGAAAAATTTGTTTAGCATGCTGTAGAAAATATGGAAGAATGTCATGAATATGCCCTAAAATTAAAAAATACATAAATAAATAATGTGAAAATACAATTTTTTCGGCAGATTTAATTCATTAATTCACATAAGACCTTATGAGAACTTAGAACCAACAAGAACCTACCCTCTGCATATATTAATTTTCCTGGTACTTCCTTGTTAAAGCAGCCAGAACATTTGCCTTTAGCAACATTTCAAATTTGTATGCTATAGACTGAGCAATTCAGTTTGCAAGCTTTGGCGATTTAGCATGGGGGCCAATTTATATCAATGTTTAAGTTATAATTATTATTTTAGTTTTATTTAATAATGAAACAGTAAAAATTTAACTATACAAGGATATAAAAAATATCTGCCACTTTTCTCAATAAACTTTTTGGTACTTCCTTAGCATAACCACCTTGACGCGGTTTAGTGAGCTTTTGCAGAAGAAAAATAATGATGATTTATAATTGAAAAAAAAAAAAAAAAAAAAAAAAAAAAGGTTTTACAAACTTACAAATTAGTACACATGTATTTTACATTTTAATTAGGCATCACCTTGACGCAGTTTGGTGAGCTTTTGCAGAAGAAAAAGAATGATGATTTATAATTGCAAAAAAATAGGTTTTACAAACTTACAAATAAGTACACATGTATTTTACATTTTAATTAGGCATTTATTCCAATTGTCAATCAATAAACCCACTTAAACCCTTACTTCTCACTCCTGTCAAAATGACAGGATGAAGTTTCACCCTTTATTTCTTGTGCCATGATATTTCCAGATTGGAGAGTTCAAAAGCAACGTGCTATAACCTATTCATTTCTTTTGCCCAGAAAAAGTTTTATTTCTCATTTTACACACCAGATGGCAGTACCAAAATAATACCTTTTATGCAATTACAGATAGTTTACTTCAAACTAGATGTCAGCACTAATCAAACGTGTATTTATGATATTTATTTTGTAATCTTATCATTAGCCCAGTTACGTAGTCTCATTGTGAATATATGCGGTTTCTGTTCTGTGTAAAATATATTTATTTTTTAATATTCTGTACATTATGGAGTCAGAATCAGACAGTGAATTGGATTCAGATTTTAACATAAATGGATCTGAAAGTGATTATGAAGTAACTGATTTTTACAAAAGTTAAATTAGTGAATCTGAGAGCAGTGATGATTGATCTGTTGCCTGGACGAGCATGAGCTAAAATTGTGTCTACTTTAGTAGATCATGCACCCCCACATTTTAAGTTTTGAAGAGCACCAAAGGTAAATAAAAAATTTCAATCCAAGTTCTGGTCAGGGCCGGATTAAGGGTGTCGTAGGCCCTAGGCACTCCAGCAGCGTAGGCCCCGAAATAATAAACATTTTTAACTGAAATTGACCGCTAATATTAAGTAATAATTTTGTTGTAGATATAAATCCGAAAATGTGATGATGCGGTAAAATAACATTATTTTATTTTGGGATTTTAATGTTTTTATTTTTCATAGAGCCATTTTCAATAGCCATAATTCCAGAATTGAGTTTATCTGCAACAATGCAACTTTTATATCTACCAAATTCCATGCAGAATTCCAGGGTTTTAGTACATGAACATGACAAGACATTAGCCGCCGGGAAAACCTCTCGGACGGGCACATGCGTTTGACACAGTTGGCCACGTTTCCATGCCCACTACCAAATGCTTGCGTGCGATCGAGAGGTTTTTCCCTGCTGCTAAGGTCTTTTGTTTTAGTAGCTCAGTTGTGTAATAAGTTAATATGTAAACACTACGATAGAGCGTGTATGCCTGTGCTTGTATTTAATCACGCTCAACCCCAAGTCAATCTTTAGTTTAAAAACTGGAAGTTAAATTTATTATAAGTAAGGTAAGTAAAGGAAAGTTGTTTTTATACTCTACTTATTTCAACCTAGTTTTTGATTCTGGAATATTGCTTCATTCCATTATAAATAATAGAATTTTCATTTTATCACTTCTTATTAGTATAATAGTCCGCCGTAGAATGCAGCAAAATGCAAGGAACTTTGAGTAGGCCTACTATGGGGTGGTTTGGCCATACTACTGTAAAAAATCTCCAGTAGTAGTCGTAGAAATAGTACAGTCCAAATCACCTTTGGAATAGCTTAATTTTAATCCATACTCGTAAATCCGGGTTTCGTTTTTACAAGTTTAAAATGCATTACTTAACAAATTTAAAATAACTTTTTAGCTTTCTGATAGCATAATAAAAGCGACGGGCGCAAACTAAAATGTATATTTAAAGGTGACGAGAAGAAGGAGAAAACAAGTTTAAATTTTAGTTTGTGCGTGCCCATCGCTTTTATTATGGTATATCAGAAAGTTAAAAAATTATTTTAAACTTTTAAGCGCAATTTATAAAAGCTTTTTTTAAATATTTTTTTTTTAGCGAAAAATGTCTGATGGATATAAAAGAAAACACCAAAGTGGACATGAAAAACGCAAAAGAAAGAGAAAGTGAGTGAGTCGCTTAGTAAAATTAAAGGTTCTTTATTGAAATATGTTAACATTTCTAAGGAGACAGAAGATAATGCAGATGCGGTAGATATTTCCTCGATCGAGGTTAGACCTAAAGAAGCTGAGGCTTGTTGGGATTCGCAAGAATGTTCAACCAATAAAACTGAGAATGTCACAGAAGACGAGGCTGACGGGGGTTTACGAAATTTTAACGACGCTTCCAAGCAGGTGGTTCCTGAATCACTACCAACAACATCAGCCTCAAGTATTTTCAGTTCTGATCCAGCACGGTGGACAACCATAAGCGCAGATCTTATCGATTACTTCTCTCGTAATCACCCTGTGCAGAAATTGGATATAAATTTTAAGTTATACGCCACTAAATTTGGCGAAATAATGAGATGTCCATCACAAGATTATTTTTTCAGAAAACTGAACAACAATGATATTATAAAAAGGGACTGGTTGATATTTTCCGAATCTACTGGCAAGTTTTTTTGTTATAAATGTATTTTGTTCAAAGCGGACCTACCTGGAAATCCAAACCTGTGTAACCAATTCCTTACAGGCTTTAATGACTGGAAAAATGCACATTCGAGAATTTCAAGTCATGAAGTGTCAAAAGAACATTTTGCATCTATTTCTGCTTTAGTGAACTACCAACAAACTAGAAAAATTGATGAGACGTTTGATATTGTCAAGGAAAAAGAAAGCACATATTGGACAACGGTTTTAAGAAGAGTAGTGGAAGTAATTAAGTTTTTGGCCGAAAGGGGACTAGCGTTTAGAGGCGATAATGAAATACATGGTGATCCTAGTAATGGCAATTTTCTTGGGTGTATCGATCTCTTAGCCAAATTTGATCCGTTTCTAGAAGAACATGTGAGAAGATACGGTAATCCAGGCCGCAGAAAAGTATCATATTTATCCTCCACAACGTATGAAGAACTAATAATTTTACTGGGGTCAAAAGTATTGGAAAAAATAGTTACAGAAATCAAAGAAGCCAAGTATTATGGAATCACTGTGGATTCTACACCTGACGTTAGCCATACGGATCAACTCTCCATAGTTATTAGATATGTCTCAAAAACTGGAGATATATATGAAAGATTTTTGATGTTTGTTAAAATAGAAAAACATGATGCCAAGTATCTTTTTGACACTCTAATTTCAGTTTTAGAAAATCAGGGAATAGACCCAAAAGTTTGCAGATGTCAGTCTTATGACAATGCGGCTAATATGAGCGGAGTGTATTCGGGAGTACAAACTAGATTTAGGGAAATCAACAGCGCAGCCACTTGGGTACCATGTGGAGCTCATAGTCTTAATCTAGTTGGCACAGCGGCGGCAGAAAGCTGCTTAGAAGCTGTAAAATTTTTGAAATTTTGCAATCGCTCTACAATTTCTTTGCAGCGTCCGCTCAAAGATGGTCTAAACTAAGGTCTTTGGGAAGTAAAATTTCTGTAAAAAGACTTTCAGAGACCAGATGGTCAGCACGTTATGAGGCTGTAAAAACATTATGTGCCCATTATGATGATATACGTGGTATTCTTACAAATATTTCAACTAGTGAAGGTATGAAACCTACAACAGTGATTGAGGCACAAACCTTAATCCATCAAATGAATACTTTGGAGATGGTATTACTCACAGTCATTTGGGAAGATCTACTAAAACACGTCGATATTGTAAATAAATCTCTTCAAGAACCTGGCATCGAGTTTAACATGATGGTGCGACTTTACGACAGTTTAATTCAATATTTATCTCACTGCAGAACTGAGGACATGTATAATAGCTATTATCTTAAGGCAAAAGCCCTTGCACCAGATTCAGAATTTAAAGAATCCGAAACTAGAGTTCGTAAGAAAACGACAGTTCGATGAAGGGCCAGATGAGACTCCCTCTCGCAGTGCCAAAGATTCCTTTAAGATTAATGTTTTTTATTGTTTGTTTCTGGATGTGCTTTGCGCTGAAATGACAAAGAGACGCACTGCGTATACCAGCCTTTATGACACATTTAGTTTTCTTATGGATAATACACTGACCGAGGACATTATCAAGGTTAAGGCTCAAGCTCTGGTAAAAATGTATCCGTCTGACTTAGAAGAAAACTTTGTTGATGAGTATTTGATTTTTTCAAATTTGTACCCCAAAACCACCTCTATAACAGATCTCATCAAATTACAAATAAAGGATAAACTTGTGTCAAGTTTCCCAAACGTTAATATTGCATTGCGCATATACCTTTCGATATTGGGTTCGAATGCAAAAGGAGAAAGATCATTCTCCAAGTTGAAGCTTATAAAAAATTTTATGCGTTCAACTATGGGTCAAGAGAGAACTTCGTCACTGGGCCTTCTGTGTATTGAAAGTGATGTCGCTCGCGGCATTAATTTTGAAGATATAATACACGAATTCGCTGTGTCAAAATCCCGAAAAAGGAGTTATTTTAGGATCTACTTAGTAACCAAACGTTTTGTATTCGTATTTTTTGTGTATTTGTATTTACATATATTATTTTGACCTTCACTATATAATAA